TAAAAAGATAAAAAAGAATGAAGTCAAATCATATATACTGATCCCCTATGCTTCATCGTAGCCTATTTACCAACTTTAATGAGTTTCACGTTATCTTCTTAATTGCATGTCTATTTGTAAAAAAGTATAGTTTTATTAACAAGCCAACATGTAAAATATTTTATTTATTATTATTTTATTTATAAAAATTGAATATTTAAAAAATATATGATTCCGAGATTTTTTCTTCCTAATATTGTAATCTTCTAAATAAATATAGTATACACTTAATTTCAATTATAATTGTAACAATATTATTACCAATGTCAATGTTCTGACATAATCGTCAATTAATATTGTTCTATAATTAATTGGATAAATTTATTTAGTTCATTTAATTCTATATATTTTTTATATTATATATTTTATGATATTTTATGAAAATAGTATCATTAAGATAAAAATAAGATGAATTTATAAACAATAATTGAGATTTCCTAATATGCAATGTTTTTGTTTATCAAAAATTTGTTCTAAAGACAGTGTCACGGAACGAGTATCTTAAATACCTGAAAAATTCAACAACGTTATCGGGGTCGTTGTAAAATGTTTCATTACCAATGCCCATATGTTACATAATCATTATTTCAAGCGTGAAACCAACGTCGTGTATTCTCTACTAGCAATATCTCTGGAATTTACACATGAAAAGACCTCGGCACGAAGAATTCCAGCTGTAAATACTTGAGGTCGCAGGAACTTCAGCGGCAATAGATATGAACGCCTTCAACGAAACAAGATTTTTTTCTTTTCTAAATTTTCTATATAAACAGCTTTTAAATATATTCACTAATTTTTATTTTTACGATTTTTGTTATAACAATAAAAAAACACTAAATTGATTTACATAAAGATAAAATTCGTAGCAACTCAACGACTTACCTAATAGGTACCCCTGGTTCCAAAATCATAACTGATCACGCTAGACTTCCGGATGAACATACATTCCGCTTAAAGCTTCTTCTCGATTCACGTTATTGTATGAAAAAAATAATTAGGGATAGTGAAGTCAGAAATAGTGAAAGGGGCGCGCAACGAACTAACGAGAAAGTTAATAACTGACGAACAACTCTTTGCAGAACAAACGAACGAAGAGGTTCAAGAACGAGTGACGTGGATGTCTCTCCGGTTCGACTCATATACTCTACCTGTGCTGATCTGACGTCACGGGTATGCTTCTTATCAGGTAGAAGCGCCAACACCTGTAAGCTCGCACCTGTATGCTTGAGCTTACCACCGATTGGAACGCCCTGAGCTGAATTTTCTTATGAAAGATATTTCTATACTCAAGACAATACAATTAATACATTTACTTAAACAATTACTTGAGAATAATATAGAATAATACGAACTTCATCAGAAAATCTAGTTCATCAAGGTTTTAAGTTATATATTTAAGAATATATAAGTTTCGCATAAAATATAATTGATGAAATAGTATTCAATTCTAAAGTTTTTTTTTTTTATAGAAAAGAAAGAAGGTAGAAAAAAAAATATAAAAAAAAACTATACTTGACCGTCAATTCACTTTTTAAAATTTTTGGAAAAAAATAATTATAAATCCATGGATGTAAAACTGACGAGCGATATCAATAGCAATAGTTAATGCTGGTTCAGAGTAAACACAGGTTCTATAAAAAAGAAAAGAAAAAAATAATAAAAGACAGAAACGGAACCGTTGCTTTGACGATGTCACGCGCGTTTACGTGGTGCGTTGCACCTTATCTCGTGTCCTAGTTACATCATCATACACGATTTTGTAGTTCTTACACAATTCCGATCGGAAGGAACTAACAATAGATATCGCTGATCAATTCATGATTTACTAATAATATCATGTTTTATTTCATCATGATAAATTTTTCATCGTTTAATTAAAATATAGAATGTATTTTATTTTAGAATAAACACATCATTCAAAAAAGTTTTTGATTTTAATTAAACTGTAATGGTTGAACGACTGCCAATGGGAACCGATGATTTGCTCCTAAAAAAAAATTTATATAATAATTCTTTTAATAATTTTTGCTTTTTGATTCATTATTCATAAATACCTGTAGGCTTCATAAAAAATTTTTCTGACTTCCTCAAACATTTGTTTATAAGTCGCAAGATCGGCAACTTTGTCTTTTTGCACAGCATCTAATCTAGCTTTCAATGCGAGACATTCTTCTTGCAATAATTCCATTCTATTTAAAATTTATCAAAAATTATTAGATAAAGCTTAAGTATTTTAGATAATTTATATTTACATATCTTCTGTTGCTTACTTAAGCCGCATTTGTTCTGTATCCATTAATTTATCACTAGTTTTTGATAATTTTGGTAATTTTGTTCTATATCCAGTATCGATCTTAACAATTCCTATTTTCTCTGTCTCCAATTTTCGAATTTTTAATTCTAATTTTGCCGATTTGTGTTTTTCATTACGTAAGATATTCTACATATAATTCATCTGATTAGAAATTCAATCAAGAGATAAGGATATAAATAATATTGTAGAAGACTCACAGAAAGAATATCAGCGTCATTTCTTTCTTTATCTAGTCGTCTATTAAGTATTGTTATTAATTCCAGCAATCTCTCTCTTTCAGCCTCAGCGGCAAGAGCTAAAGTTACATACTCGTTAGGTTCGCATGTACTTCGAACGGTATGAGGAGAAGTATTATTGTTAAAATTATTTAAAAATATTTCCGGTTGCGTAATTTTTCGAGATTTAATCTCCCATATATTGGGGACTGTTCCATTCCTAAAATTAATAACACATTTTTATAAAAATCTGTTTATACTTTTTATTTTTTCTAAAAATAGATCACCTCAATTTATCTATTTCGATTTCTCGTTCTTCTAATTTTTTACGCAACCGATCAATTTGAAGTTGTGCTGACTGTAAATCATTTTTTAAGTTCGTGTACTCACGTTCAATCTTCTCTGATTTGTTTCTTGTATCTGTCTCGCGTTCTTCATGTTTTATTTCGGTAGTTTTAAGCCGATTCTACAAAATTCATTAAATATAAAAGAAACGAATAATTCAATATCATCGAATACTTACGTTGAGTGTCTCAATTAAATGAATATCGTGAGATCTTTTTTCATTTAATATAGCAATGTTTCCTTTTGTAATATTCAATTCATGTTCTAATACTTTTATTCTTGCTTTTGAAGCTTCTAATTTTCTTCTATATTCTTCAACAATAACTTCCGTTTGTCGAAGTTGCTTTACTGAATCTTCAATTTGACGCCGTCTTTCTTTTTCAACATTTCGAAGATTCTCAAAATTTTTTCGTTCTACGGATACTAAGAAAAAATATAAATTTTATCAATAGAAATCTAAAATTTAGAAATTTTATTTTAATACCAATAGACATTTTTTGCGTTCCTTCATATTCCGATAATTTTGATTGCAGTTCAGTTATTTTTTGATGTAACAGATGAATCTGTTCAGCTCTTCCACGCCATCCGGATTGATTCGATAAATTATTCAAATTCATATTTTCACCAACTTCGCTATATAATAACTATATTTGCAGCTTTAAAAGTATCTTTACTTCATTTTTCATACAATTTCCAATAAAATATTTAAATAAAATACCTTATTCAATTTATTAATCTCTTGTTTAAGACTGATGCAGTTATTTTTAGATTCATATAGTTTCGTTTGAGTTAGTTGTAATTTTTCAAGTAAATGTTTCATTCGATCCTCATCTTCCCTCGGCAAATTATTTTTGGTACCTTTGTCAAGGATACCATCCTATATCTCGATCATGATGGAATAATAATAGAGGAAAGTAATAGTGTAAAAATGTTGTGTGCAGCTGAAAAATCTTTAATATAACTCACTCTGCTGAGAGGAGTCATCAGTTTTCAAATGCCTTCTTTCGTGTCGCTCATTTTCTAATTCTGTTTCTTTATTAATTAAATGAATTTCAAGATTTTTACATTTAGACTTCAGAACTTCAATTTCTGCAGTCTGTTCTCTACATCTTTTGCTAAGCTCAATAATTTTCGCAGTTGCTATTTCATTCGGTTTTCCTAAAATTATTGATTGTCCATTTTCTGCGATTTCTTTTTTTCGTACTTTTTCTTCCATTTCTTCAAGTGCTCGTCGCAAACAACCATTTTCAGTAATTAAATCCTATTATATTTATTTATATTTAATAAAAATTATTCATATTTAATTTAATTTTATATAGGATTTATATGAAATTTTATAATGAAATTAAATGAATTATTTTATATATTCAAAGTATTACATAATTATTATTTTTAAAAATAATTTTTAAAAATAATTGCAACAGAATTTATTTCGATTACCTGAATTCGATTTCTCAAAAATAGATTTAATTCTTTTGGAAAGATAATATGATCAGGTAAATTCTCCTAGGACATAAAAATATCATTCTTTTCCGTATATTCTACGAATATATTCAATTATAAAATACGTATTATAACAATTTAAGAATTAAGTACCTCTGTTAATTCTTTTGTCCATGGAATCGTCGCTTCAAAATCTAAAGAATTATTCATTTCATCTTGTACTATTTTATATATTATTTCTGATTTAGACATATTTTGTATGAATACTAAATTATCAAAATTTTTTTCTAACCTCCCTTAATATAAATTAAGACAATTCTTCAGTTTTAGTATATAATACTAAAATTGTCACAAAAAATGACATTTTTTATCTATGAACTGCATATAAATTTTATAACAACGTATTGTTATGTAAACATGTGAAGTTTAAAACTTTTGTTCTAATAAACATGTATCCAATAAATGAAGATTTCATATACATGTTAGGTTAACAATGTAAATAAACTGTACAACTTCTAGTAGATAAATTTTTTATCTATATTATCCAATATGTGAATGTTACAATTAAGAATAAATCTTGATTACATAAAAAAGCTTAATTCTAAATGTCAAAATAGGGAAATAATGAAGTTAAAATTTAAATATTTATTTCAAATTAATTCTATTGATTATGTTTTTGTCATTCGCATATTTTGCTTTCCTTTATTTCCAGCATGTTTTTGAATGTTTCTGTTATTTCCACCTGCTAATTTTCCTGCCTTTTGTAGAGCATGCAATTTAAAATTTTTAACAACACCTACTTTTTTGTTGCTTCCAGAATATTGCACGTTTATCCTTCTCCCATTAATAAATGAATGATTGAGTGAAAGTGCTTTCTGTTAATAAATAAGTATAATAATATAGTATAATAATATGTAATGTATACATAGATAATTGATTCTAATATTCAAAATAAATGAATTACAATATAAACATACCTCATAATCTGTATTATTGGCCAGTTCAATGTAAGCAAATCCACGTGCTGTGTTTGCATCTTTCTTAGGTATCCTAATATCAACTATTTGATTGACTTTAGTCAAAAAATGTTTTTTAAGTTCCTCATTAGTAATACTAAAATATAAAAATATAAATATAATATAAAATACATACATATATATATATATATATATAAAGAATTAATTTAATATTTAATACATGTTCTTACTTATATGGTAAATTTCCTATGAAAAGAACATATCTTTTCTTTTTATTTTCTTCCTCTATATTTATAGATTTTCCTTTTTCTTTTAAATCTTGCATACTTTTTTTAATTTTATTATCTTCATGTTGCTTATTATTCTCATTTTTTTCATTTTTTTCTTCTATATCATCATTGTCATTGTCATCATTATCATCATTATCATCCTCATCATTATCCTCTTCCTCTTCCTCTTCCTCATCTTCCTCATCTTCCTCATCTTCCTCATTTTCCTCATTTTCCTCATCTTCCTCATCATCATCCTCTTCCTCATCTTCTATATTACTTTCATCTTCATCTTCATCCATTTCAATTTCTTCCTTATCTTCATCACTATCATCATCATCTTCATTTTTTTGTTTTAAAGATGTTAATGTCTTATTTTGTTTAACATTTTTATTTTTATTTTCATTTGACTTAATCTCTAATTTTTCTTGCAATTTTTTTTTTTGTTCAGTGCTTTGTAGTTGTTTCTTTTTAACAAATTCTATTGATTTTTCACTTTTTATATTTTCTGTCTCTTTTTTTATAATTTGTTTAGGTTTATCTACTCCTTCTTCCATTCTTAATCTTTTTTTAAGTGCTGCTAGTTTTCTCCTAGCACTTTTTGTAAGATTTTGTCGAGCTTCTATTAATTGAATTTTCTTTTTTATTTCCTCAACAGATAAATTACGATTTATTTCATGCTTCATCTGCCTATTTGCTTTACGCTTTTTACGATATTCTTCTCTCTTTTTTAATATTTCTAATTTATTCTCTTTATTTGATATCTGTTTCTTATTTTTCTGTGGATTATTTTCAGTTATTTCTTTTATATTACAATCTTGAACAACTCTTGAATCATGATCTTTTTTCTTTTCATTTTTGAATTTTTTAGGTATGTCCTTTTTAACTTGTTGATTTGTTTGTCCATTTTGTACTATTCCATTTTCTAGTTTCTTTTTCTTATGATTTTTATTAAAATTTCCTGATATTTCTGTTTTTTTTTCAATTGCCTCAAACTCACTTGCTGATCGTTTTTTCATGTTTTTAACCATATTCGTTTTAGTCATTATTATGTTATTTAATATATAGATTTACTGTAAATAAGAAATAAAAAGAAATTAAAAATGTAACTAAATTTTATGAATAAAAGTTAATAATAATTTAAAATAATAATTTTTATTTAAAGTAATAAATAAATTGTTAATTTTAAAAAACATTAAAAAACATAATAAATTCAATGTATATATTGCATATAATTTAATATAATTTAATATTTTATGTGTATAATTGTACTATTAAAATTGAAATTATTTCAAATTTAGTTTTTTTTTATATCTATTTTAATTAATATAATTTAACATTTTTATTGATATTCATTAATTATTTTATAAAGTAATATAATATAAAATATATATGTATTTTTTTAGTTTTATAATATTAAATTAACATACCTTTCCAAACGTGGTCGCAGATATAATTTTTGAGGTTAACTCTAACACGCGTCTCGTATTCGTGTATATATAAGTAAAGAATAAAAGTGTATAATTATGATTTCGATTCGTGTCATGACGCATGCGCATAAATTTTTATTATATTTTATTATGTAACATTTAGTCCTAAAATTTATATTTCATAAAAAAATATGAATATAATTTTATAAAGTGTAAATCAAAACATAATACAAATGCATGTTATTAGTTTAATTAAATAAAATAAAATTTTTAAATTATTTCAACGTCATTTCCGTTATATAGAATGTCTGATTTTATATTTTTTATTTAAAAATAAAAATAATTTACTTTTATATTATATTAATTATATTAATATAATGATTAATTATAATTAGTAATTAGTAGACTAGTAATTGTATTATAATTAAATTATATAAAATTTTTATACAAATAATATAATTACAAAGTCATTGCTATATTTTTTTAAAGTATACTATCTATATTTACTTTATATACATCTTTTATTGTAATATTTGATAAACATTAATAAAAAATTTTTAATTAATGAATTTTTATAAATAAAATATAATTATTACATAATACGTTTATTAGGCAGTTAGCATTACAACTTTTATATTACTTAGTTAAAAATATAATCTTCACATAAAATTTTTATTTAAAGATGTAATTTATATTTAAAAATATATAATAATAAAAATTACTTGAATATAAATCTGTCTGAAACTTAACACGAAATGATCAATTCATGATAATAAAATAGAACAAAATGTTAATATAGTATATTTATAGTTATTTTTCTTAGAATAGAAATATGTAATATATATGGAAGACATTTTGATAATTATCAAATAATTACAGTATATTAATAAATTATTCATAAATATATAAAAATATTGATGCAATATAACTAATACTATATATAAATGCAATATATTTTATATATTTTATTACACTTATGTTTGTGACTTGATTTAATATTTATTGTATAATGTTTATTGTATACAATATGTATACAATAATTGTATAATATGTATACAATAATCTAAAATCTTGTTTTGTATCAAATAAATATTATAAAAATTTAATACGGATAGTTACATATAGTTATTAAAAATTATTTACAATTAGAAAGTTGTTGTTATATTGATATCTTTATTTTTTATATTAAAAAATATAAAAGAAAATATAATGATTAATTAATACTACAAAATTTATCAGTAATTTAGTTATATAATTATTATATTATTATATAAAAATTTATTATTTATTTTATAATTTCTTAAAATAATTAGACTCAATTTTTTCTTTTAAGTGTAGTTAGTATTGTATACAAAATTTCTAATTTCATAGAAAAAACAAAAAATGCATACAATCATATAAAAAATTTTAAAGCTATTTAAATTTATCTAAATTATAAATTCCTAAGAGCATTTTTACAATTTGAAAACAAATATTTTATATCACTGTATTAGAAAAAGAGTGAATATATAAATAATACATAATTGTTCATTTATCTTGCAGTATGATATATAAAATTTATAAATAAAAAATTTGTACAAAAAAATATATTAATTACTTACAATTAATTATGTTATTAAATGTTTGAATGCAAATTTATATCAAAGTTGTTCAAAAAAAAGTAGTTCCATATGATTGAAAAAATAACCATCTTTCTCATTTTATAATAACTGTAAAAAGTTTAATCAAAATAATAGTGATATAATAATAATTATTGTGTCGCGCGATGTCTAACACAAAAAAAGTTTATTTGTGTTTGCAAGCAATGATATTATAAATTTATATATAAAGCATTTCAAATTTTATTTATTATTTTACTATTTATTATAATTAATATTCTATAATGTTAAAATGATACCTGAGGTTAGTTAATTTTGCATTTAAAGTTTTTTTTATGCAATATTATAATTTTGCTGTCACATTTGAAAATACTTTACATATTTCGAGTAACTATAAATTAATAATGAAGTCTATTTTTATCTCTTTGCATGAACTCTCACAATTTTTTGTCAAATAGAATATTCATGTATTGTTGTCACTGTCTTCATTTATCAAAACAAATTAACATTACAAACTGTTAAATATCGTTTATCATTTTCTCCAGATGTTAAATATGTACATACAAGAAATTAGTATGTCTAATCAGCTTTACGTGGCTTACGTTTACGAACATTTGGACTGCTTGGTTCAGTTTTGGAATCTTTATTTACATCCTTTTCTTTTTCTTCTATCTCTGATCCTTCTTGTTCAGATTCTTCATCTACTAAATCATCTTTAACATGTTTAACAATTTCTTCATCCTGTATACATTTCTCTTGCATAAATCCTCCTGATCCTTCTTTTTGTTTCTTTTTGTCTTGAAGCATCACAGGTTTTGGTGGATATATAAAATCGATCAAGCAGACAATAAACTATAAATAAAAATTATATTAATTTAAATTCAAATTTAATTATATTATTCAAGCTTACCAATCCTAATATTGCACCTAAAACAATAGTAGCAATAGCAAAAATTAAATAACTTCCCCATGTAGGTAATCCAAAATCTTCCATAAGTTTATTATGTATTCCCTGTAAGAACAATTTGATTTTATAATATATTTAAAATTTAAATCAATTTTATTAATTTTTTTATATAAGTCTTTACCCTTAATACTTGTGACATTTTAAAGAATTGACTAATAAGAGACATTTGAATAGAAGTTGGACTCTTCCAACCAGGAATTGGTTCAATTTTTTCCCAAGTTTTTTCAGATACAAATTCAATCAATGAATCTTTATCTCTAGGGCTTTTATATTGCCTAAATATACCATCTTTAACACTAAAGAAAACATTAAAATTTAATTAAAAATAATTATAAGTATGAATTATCAAATTATTCTTATAACATAAAAAATCTTACTGATATATTGTTGGTAAAGCTGTAACCATAAATCTTCCACTAAGTCCTGGAGAATCAGTTACATCAACTTTTGCTACATTAATATTTAGATTCTTCTTTTGTGAAGCAAGATGTTCCCAAATTGGTTCCAATGCTTTACAAGCAGGACACCATGGAGCATAACTAAATCGCAAAATATTCAATTATATATAATATTATTATATAAATTAAAATATAAAATATTTAATATTATAATTTTCAATAAAATATTTTTTATAAATCCTATATTTTTATAATTTAATAAAAATTCATGGCAAATATTTGAAATTAATGATATCATGAAATTTCAAATGAAACATCAAAATATATACAAATGTGTTTGCAATATAATTTTTGACACGATATCATTTAACGACATGGAATCAAATCAACTCACAATTCCACCATCCATTCTCCGATTAGTATACGATCCCAATTTTCTTCAGTAAGTTGTTCTGCAAAAGTATTTTTTGATGATGTCTGAATATTTGCATTTACAAGACTCAAAAATAAACAACTATATGTGATATAAAATAAAAAACGGAATTTAGTGCACGACATTTTATATTAACTAATTTCCACCGGTACCGTAGATACACGCTGCCGGTCATAGGAAGAAACACGAATCTAATCTATTATAGTTGGTTGGCAATCAAGTAAAGAAATACTATATATTTAATATCCTATAAGGAACAAATGATAACTATAATTCATTTTAAAAATTTATTTAAAACATTGCTGTAATTAAAAAAAATTTTTTATATTATTAAAATTTTAATATATAGATATTATTAAAATAAGTATTAAAGAAGAGTTTATTAAATTTTTAAATTTGAAATATAGAATTATTTTTTAAGAATAAATATATAATTAAATTTTACAACTATAATATCTCTTTTTTTATAAATCATAGATGAAATATTATTTTTATATATTATTAAATAAGTTATATTTAACTAATTACATATTTTAAAATAATTTCTTTATTTTAAAAAAAAAATTTATACTTTAAATTTTTATATCAAAAATATAGATTATTAAAATTTTTCAATATTATATTTTTTATATAACTTCATATTTTATTTAAATGTTTCAAATAAATGTCAATGTTTAATACATTAGTATTTTTGACATATCTTAAAATATTTCAAACTATCTATCTATAAAGTATCATTATTAATGTTAATTTTCAATGTAAATAAAGCTTAAATATATTTGCTGCATTATTTTCATGCGATCTTTGTAAAAAATTTAATAATCGCATCTTTATAAATCTTATTTATTGTATGTTTAAAATAAAATTAAAAAGTAAAAACTAAAACTTAAATTTCTAGAGTATATAAATAAAAATATATTTTAATTTTATTCTAATTTTTTTATTATATAATTTTTATTATATTATTTATTATTAAATAAATTATTTTATTTTAATTAATATTTTATTAATTAATTTAATTATTTTATTTAAATTATATAATATAAAAAAAACATATTAAATAACTTTTAAAATTTTAATATTTTTTTACATCCTGTTTAAATTTTTTAATTTTGTTATTTTAAATTTATTTTTATAATTTGAAAATATTATTTTCATATATAATGATAAATATTTAGAAATATAACAAATTATTAATTTTTAATATATTTTATTTATAATTTAAAATTTATATTGCATTAAATTATTAGCAATTAATAGCTTAGATTTTATTAGTACGAAAACAAAATATTTTAAAAATATAAAAATTCTATAGATAATCAATATGTCTGCTGTTTCTCCAATTTTGCCTAAATTAGTTGAACGAGATAGTTATGATGAAGATTTAACAGATATTGATGATGAAGTATTTATCAGAGATGGAAAAAATAAATTAAAATTAAATGATGGAGGAGTTAAACGGCCTTTAATGGCACCTCATAGAAAATATAAAAAATCATATAATTTTAAAACATATGGATTTTTAAATAAGGCTGGTTTTGGATTTATAGCATTGATAATATTATTAAGTTTAACTATATTATGTATATATATTATAAATGTAATACCTGGACCAATGTCAATCTTAAAAAATTGGCTATCATATAATCTTAAAGATTCTTTACATGAATCTAATATAATACCATGCACATCCCTTACATCAAAAATTTTATGGACTAAATCATTGCCAAAATTAACATCAGAATCTCCAATAAGAAGCAATGATGTAAATGATGATGGAATTGAAGATATTATTATTGGATTTAGTACAGGTTTTTATATATAAATAAACATTTTACCACACTTATTTTTTATTTACTTATCAGGATTTATTTAAAAACTTAATTTACAGGTTTTAACTTTTAGTCTTATGATTTTGTAGAATAAATATTTCAATTTGTAAGGTATATCATTTTTATAATATATTTAATTTTAATATTTGATATCTGATTTAAAATATGAGTAGATATTAACATAATTATGTATAAAAAATTAATATTATTTTGACATACAGGATTGGATATAATGAATATTCCAGAATATGCTTGTACATCATATTTTAATGGCCAAGTTCCATGTTTTGGTGGAGTTTTAGCTTTAAATGGTAAAACAGGAGATATACTCTGGATACATTGGACAGCTCATGCAATTTTCTCAATTGATTGTGGTTTAGATTTAACAAATGATGAAATTAAAGATTGTATTATATGTGGTCGGAATGGAATACTTCATGCAGTTAATGGCTATAATGGGACTAGTATATGGGAAATTCCAATTCGAGATTTATCAATTTCAGAAGAATGGAAATTCTCAGATATTTATGATGCTAGATTTATTGCTGATATTAATGGAGATGATGTTGGAGATATTATTGCATCACATGTTATACATTCAAGGAAAATTCATACTAGCGAAGTTCTTATAATATCAGGAATCAATGGGGGAATTATACATAATTCAGTTTTACCAAATACAGAGCAACTTTTTCTAGCACCTCAAAAACTGATTCATCCAGATGGAGAAAATATTTTTATTCTTGTTACTAGCAGTCAGAAACAATCAAGTGGATTATATATAATTTCTCAAGTAAATTTAATATATGGCAATTTGGTAAGTTCCTTTAATATTCAAAGAAAATATATAAATAATTTATTATATTATATTATATTATATTATATTATATATTTATAGAAATTACGAAAATTACATCATGATACAGGAAAAGGAACTTTATTACCTCCAATTTTAGTTGATGTAACATTAGATGGAATTGAAGATATTGTTGCTGCTATGTTTAATTCTACAATAATAGTTTATAATGGATTGACTTTTGAACCTATTTGGAATTATACAGTACCTAATTCTGAAGTAATAAGTATACCTATTCCTGGTTATTATAATGATGATAATATTCCAGATTTTATGGTAAAACATCAAATAGGTTTAGGTTTTCCAATATATTATTACACAGTTGCAACAATTATAGATGGAAAAACCGGAAAACCTTTATTAGAAAAACCAATAGAAGATAGTTTAAGTAAAGAAATGTCTGGTTTATCTGTTACTGTTGAAGGATTTGGAAATGATTGGTTTTTACATTGGTCAGTTGATTGTTTAAACTACGAAGGAATTAAAGAAAAATATCAGTTTTTAAAAAATGAAGATTTTATATCAGAATCACATGCTGATCTTTGTAAGCTACGGTTTAATTCTACTCTAATTACAAATTTATATGCCTTGAGCCAACATGTTGGACCACCTGGTATATCATTATATTTTTCTGAAGACTGGAAATTTTTAGAATATAATAATTCTTTGAATGCCAGAATAGAATTACATGAAAATATTCCTTTTGTACCTGAACAATTATCGAAAATTTATGAAGATAAAGAAAATTTTAAACAAAGACAAGAAGATTATTATGAAACTGAACAACACATGGAACATAAAAAATTTGCAATTAATAATCAAAATAATATTTTGAAAAACGAGAATAAATGGATTCAAAATAATATACAAACTAAAGATTATGATATATTATATAATGAAAATAATAAAATTAATTTACAAGAAGAGTCAATAGATTATCAACAAGAAGAAAACAAAGAACGAGAACAAAGAAGTAATTCAAATTTAGATTTCAAATTTATCAATCAACCTGACAACAAAAATCATTCAGTAAAAAAAATGCTTAAAAATAATATTAGTTATAAAACAAATAAATTTGAAACATTTAATACTGATACATTTAATACAGATTTTCTGAATATTCAAAAAAATAGAAATGTTGATGAGAATAATAAAATATTAAATGAAAGAATAATTAATTATGACATAAATAAAACAAAAGAAACAATTAATTCTATGGTAATATCACTAATTGTTATTAAAAAATACGTTATATAGAAAAAACACAAAGAATTCTTTTTTTTTTTTTTTTAGGATGTAAAAACTTATGCTTATAAGTTTTCTAATATTAAAATGACAGAAGATGCTATAATAAAAAATTTTAAACAAAAAAAATTAATAAAAAATTGGTATAAAAAAAAAGAAACTAATTTTAAACCAAAATTAGAATTAGAGCAAAAATATGAAATAAAATTAAAAAAACAAAAAAAAAAGAGAGAAATAAAAACTAAAAGCAATCAAATATATTCAATACATGGTGTACAAAAACAACCACTATCTGGAATCTTATTACCCTCTATTTCAGAATCAAAAGGAGTAACTTCCATAGATTTAGTATTTTCTACATTTTGGTTACCATCCTCTGAAACACCTATAATATTAATTCAAGAAGACTTAAACTGTATTCATTGGAAAAAAATGCTTTCAGAAAAAAATTTGCAATATAAACAAAATGATGACATTATTGAAGAATGTTTAAATGAACGAGGTATTAATTATAAAACACATCAAGAAGCAAACAATAAAGGAAAATTTAAAATTTCTCTTGGACAAATGACAATATATAGAATGAAATTAGAATGCATGTGTCCAGAAGATATGTTACCTAATCAAATCTGTAAAAATATATCCTTGCATCAAAGTTGGTCTGAATATTTAGGTTCACATGGAAATGGATATTTTAAACCACTTTATAAAACAAATTTTTAAATAAATTACTTATTTATATATATATATATATATTGCACAAAAAATATTTAATTCATTAAAATAATAAATTCTTATATTTTATTTTAATTATATAAAAAATGTTTTTTTTTTTAAACGAATATATAAAATTATTAAAGTTTAAACAATAGCATTGTAATAACAATTATATTATAAATTTCAATTATTAATATTTTTTAAATAAATAATTATATATATATTAATTAAATAAAAAAAATTATAAAATTTGAATATTTACAATTTAATATTAACATTTTAAAAATACAATATCTATTATATAATGTAATAATCTATATATCCACATATAATATCTATATATCCATTATGATCTTATCTATATATAAGTTATAAGATTGTCAATTATCATAATATTTATTATTCTAAAATATTTTTTTTCAAAATATTTATAATGTTGAAATTATATTATTAATTATATAAAATTATATTATATTATAAATATATTATTAATTATATAATGAAATTATATTATTAATTATTGTATATTATATATATTATAATTAATATAATTTTTTTTAAATATATCATCATATATTAAAACATCATATATTAAAAAGTTGTTTAATATTAATATAATAAATTAAGATTTTACTATATCATTTTAAAAAGCTGAAGTTAGATGTTTGATCAATATCTATTTAATATACAAGTTTTTCTTGAACAATTAATATATGTATATATATATATATATATTTCTTTTTTAAAACAATATTACGTTTTTTTATAAACTACTTAATTAATTAAAATTAAAATATCAAAATAATTTATATATAAAATAAAATTATTTAATTTTAAACAACATGTCTGAGAAACAAATATTAAATCGTAAGTTATAGTTTATAATATATTTATTATTAATTACATAATGGTGATTTTTTCATATATTTACATGTATACAGAATCTTTATATCCTGCATATAATGATAAACAAAAATTTCAAATGTCTGATATACAAAAAACTTGTGTAGATGTAAGTTATTATGTAATATCATTTCTATCTTTTACATCAAATAATTCTTGTATAATTTCTTATTACTATAAATTTGTAGAATATATGTCAAAAAAATGTATTTATATGTAAAACTAAAGAAAGACATTTAAAATATAATTTGAAGGAACAATATTGTAACAGTGTAAAAAAAGAAAATTGGATTGCAGAATTTAAGCAAGTTAATATGATAAATAGTAATTTAGAATATAATTAACTAATCTTATAATTTTTTAATTTCTTTTTCTTATATATCATATATTTGAGAAATGATTAGAAATTCATATGCTTTTATATATACCTAATATATTTATAGGATAATGGCTGGACATCATAAATCAAATAAAATTGGATATTGTAATAGTTTCAAATGTTTTCGTCGACCTGTTGTACCATTTTTAGTATCAAAAACACAAAATATAAACATTCCTATACGATTTAATCATGATATTCTAAATGATATATTAATAAATGCACAAAAACAATGTTACACTTTTTCATCTAAGTCAGAAGCTTTTAAAAATGTAGGAACACAAACAGATTATCGAGATAGTGAAGCACAAACTATTCCTTGGGAACCATCATACAGAATTAAATTAGGTATGATATAATATAAATATATTTTATATCTTCTATTGATTAATTAATTATTAATCAATATCTTTTTAGGACATAATCCTGAAGTATTATCAATAGTACATTTAACTTGGAATCATGGATTACAAATTGGAAATCATGAATTAGAAATTATTAATAGAATAAGAAAAAAAAGAGCATGGGAAGCAATTTTGCCTCCTATGGATACACAGGCTAATATAAAAAAAAGAACAGCTATAATAAATGCATTAGAAGTAGATGAATGGGCATTTAGAGAATCGGTAAATATTTTACTATAAAAGTATTTATACTACTTAAATTTATCTTAAAAATAAGATATTTTATAATAAAATTTTAGGAAATTCAAGCAATAATGGATTACAGACTTGAATTAATGAATGAAATATCTAAATCATATGAATATGCAAAACAAAAAAAAATTCAAGATCGTTTAGATAGATTGACAAATCTTTTATCTCTGCGTAGAGATAAAGAAGTAAATTCAATTAAACATAAGCTTAGAAGAGAATTAAGAAAATTATATAAAAGACATCAAGAAAAATCACAACCATTCAAACGTGATATTATTAAAGAACATGCAAATCCATCTTCTGAATTATATGCACCACAAATGCGTTATGGCGAACATCCTCAAAGAAGACATGAAATAATAGAAAAAGAATTATTAGGAGAAAGTTTTATTGAAAGTAAATATAAATATATTAATATTATATAATAATATATATAATATATATATATATAATGATATAAGTAATTATAAATAATTATATCATGTAATATATGTATTATTTATATAATAATATAAATAATTAAATAGTATTTAAATACTAATTAAATAGTATTTTTATGTTGTATTTTCTATTATTATTCAAAATATGTTTATTTTAGATGTAACTGAAATAAATACTTTACCAAAATGGCTTCCAACATATGAACAACTAAGTGTAGTAGAAGCTAAACCTAAATCAGATGATCTATGTATTAGAGCAACAAGATGGACAAAAGAAAAATTAATTCAGTTACATTCTGACTTAAAAGCAATAAGATTAAGTACTATATATGTGACAATAGATGCACCAGTATTATTAAAGCGCAAGTATAAAATGCCATCTTTACCTCCTACACCATATAAAACAACTATAGAAGATATAACAAATATACGTCTGCATCAATTGTCTACACTTATTCAAAAAATAGTTAGAGGAAGAGCTATTCAATGCATGGTAATAACTAAATGGAATATATATACATATTTATTTTTTTGTTTGTTTATTTTTTTATTTATTTTAATTAATTCAAATTTAAATAATTTTATTTTATTTTTTTTAGATGTTTGAAGGTCGCAATAGATGTAGAGAATTAATTGAAGAATTACAATCGTCTTATGGATTAGAAGAATATAGTAAAAAACAAAATCAAAAAGAAAAACAGCATACATTAGAATTACAAGAATTACAAAACGAAAAATCTTTGCAAGATGATCGTTTATGTGAAATCTTAAATTCTTTAGAAGGAATGACTTTATCAGGAATGCTAGATTTTCTTACTAAAGTATAATTCATTTCATTAAATTGATTTGCTATTGTTAAAGTTGTAATTAAATATAATTTTTGTAATATTTTTCATTTTTGTTTTAAAGGAATTAATAAGATTAGAAGATGAACGTCAAATACATGCTTTTGCATTATTAGCCGAAAGAAAAAGAGCTCTCAGAGAAGCAGCAGAAGCTGGAAAACGTCAGTTAGAATATAATCGTCGCAGAGAATTTGACGAAATATTTAAACAAATTATAAAAATTAATCAAGATTCTGTAGAAACTTATTTAGAAGATATAATAAAAGAAGGTATTGAATGGGTATCCGATGAAGCAACTAAAGCATATATTTCAGAATTGTGTGATACAATAGACAATGTATCAAAAGTTGCACGTGACAAGTATGATGAGAATAAATTAATTTTCTATAATTCTTTCCAACATATTTTTTTTTATAGTTTATAATCTTAATATTTTATAATCTTTTATATTTTAGTGAAACAAAATTAGCAGAAGAAGAAATGATAGCTAATATGATTTACAATTTTGTATTACCAGAAATAGAAAAAACTACTTTACGAAAAAATATAAGAGAAAAGCAACAAGTTTATTTGCAAAATGCTCATGCTGTAATCTATAATAAAATATTGAACTTATCATCTGTTGAAGATAAAAATTAATTGGAAAAAAAATAAAAAATAATATAAAAAAAAGGAAAAAATATTTAATTGTAAAACATTGAAAAAATTACAAATATTGCTGTCTTAAAAAATTTATGATTTTTATTATTTAATATATTATATTGTTTTATTATTGTCAAATTAAAATAGATACATGTAAATTTTCTGAAAAATATTGATATAATTGTGAAATATTATGTAATATAATTCAATTATGTAGAAGTGTATATATATATATATATATATNGAAAGAAAGAGATGATGAAATAAGATGAGATATGAAATAATATAAAAGTGAACATTATACTAAAATCTATATTTTGTAAAAAAATTTATTGTTAAAACAGGCAAGTATAATTATGTATGTTATTAATTTTTGTTAATAATTTATTGTCATTAATTTTACATAAAATCTTATATAATTTTTTACCAATATTAAATAACATCATTTCTGAAAATAGGAAAATTATTATAAATATAATATAAGAGCAAATTAAATATTAAATGAGATCTAACATTTTAGTTTATAATAATATACTTTATATGTTATATTTCTTAATGATATATATAAAATAATATATAATTCATATATTGCTGTATACAATTATATCTTTTAATATATTTATTGATTGCTTTTTAAATTTATACAATAATTTAATATACACTTCTTTACATTTATCCATGTATTTTTCAATAAAATCTTGCACTAAAATGAAAAAAAAAACAATATATTTTGCCTTTCATGTGTTTGAATTCATAACTCAGTTTTTGTTTTAATTAAAAAGATATAACTTTTATTTATTTATTAAACACAATATAAAATAAAATATTTATTTTGTTACTATATTTTCAAATAATTTCAAATTATATTATAAAAGCAACTTCATATAAAATTTGATTTTAATATATAAAAAGCTTAAACATTTAAATTTATTCAGTTGTAACACAAAAAATGCAAAATACACATAGAATAATTTTGCTTTGATATACAACTCCAATATGTACATATAGTAAGTTAATGTGAAGTTGAGGGATATGCTTCTATAGTATTACCTGCAAGAAGATCAGTCATAAATTTTTTAAATTTGACATCTTTTGCATCATTGGATGATATTCTTTCTACTATTAATTTACGTTTTTTTGCTTGTAGTTCTTTTGTTTGTAATGAATCAGTTTCTCTTTGATTAATCATATCTATATGTTTTCTTTTACAAGTTTCTATAGAATCAGGTTTTTGAGTTTCTTCTCTAGCACGACTTAGTTCAGCTGTTAAATCAACCATTTTTTGTTCCCATTCTTCAAGATGTTTTCTCATTTCTGCTAATTGTGTATCTTGATCATGTATTTTTTTTGCTTGTTCTTGCAATTTTAAAGTTTGCAATCTCATTTGAAAACTTTGTCTTTTTATTCGAAGTTTCATTCTACTAATTTGACCTTTCATAGATAGAACAGATAATTTATTCATTTTAGTACGACAATAAATTTTTTTAAAAGTTTGATTCAATTTTTCTGAACTAAAATTATGTGGCAGTGTTGCATTATTTGAATTTGTAGTATGATGAGAAATCATTAAACTTCCACTTGGCAATTCATAAGGACCTACATTACTAACAACTGAAGTACAAATACTATGTCTCAAATCTGGTAAAATTTTTTCATCAAAATGTTCCATAGCCATGCTACTAATATCTCTTAATTCTTGAAGTATTTCATGAGCTCTAGGTGGAGTTTTAGAATCTCGAATCAAACGAAGGACTCGAAAAATTTCATCAATTACCTGATATATAAATATATATTAATTTAAACATCAAAATAATTATAAAACTATTGATATTTTACCTTTCCAGGAATAAAACAGCATAAATTAAGATCCACATATTTTATAAAAGTCATAGATAACATAGATATTCTTGTTTCAATTGCTGTTAATATATCACAATGACGTGCTAAAGGATGACTTCTTCTTTCCGATTCCCTTCGTGGTAATTGACTTTTTACTGCACGCAAACATTGTGCGTGATATTTTTCCATTAAATTAAAACCTCGGTTTAATAATTTTTTACATATTCGATCAAATTGTTTACAAACCTGTTAAGATACAATTATTTTTCTAAATGTTAATGTATATGATTTTAAACAATTAATTAGTAAATATAAAAAAAAAAAAATAATCTTACAATTCTATATCGAGAAATTTCATCGTATGTAAGGTTAGACAAAATTGTCTCTAAAACAATATCTGGAAGATTTATTAGTTGCAACATATCACTGTTTTTATTTTGTAATTAAATTCTTAATACTTTCACTTGAATAAAATTTTTAAAATAATACTAAATTATATTTCTTTTCTAGTTAATGCAATAGAATAAAAATGGTGCAGTTGCAACTAGAGTGCATATAATTACGATTATAATGTTTTGACCGACCGATGACCTATAAACAAATATAGCTATTGCATATGTATCTGTTTACAATGTAGTTTACTATCTATATTCCTATGATATAATAAACTTGCTAGTTTCCTCTCTAATTTTTATGCATTTAATGGCCGGATGTAACTCACATCAGTTTTGGCTGCCATATTGTTGTGTCACGTGACGAGGGAGTAGTGAGGTGAATGCGCCGGGTCGAATTCGTGACAAAGAGTTAAAAATTTGGATACCATCGTTTACCAGGAAACCAAATACAAGATGGATGTACGAAAAGTAACAGAATTATTACGAGCCACGATCGACCCAGAGCAACAAAAGCAAGCTGAAGAGCAGCTAAATCAGGTCGGTCAACTGATTGAAAACGTGCTTAAATGACCGATACTCCAACAGAAACATGTGCTTCATCGATATCATTTTCCTTCATTATTATTCATCTTTTATATATTTTTTTATTATTATTCATCTATTTATACCTACATAAATAAATAAGTATATATATGTATATATATATACTTATCATATACATATATATATATATATATATACACGTAATATATATGTATATACATGTACATGCATATTTTAATATGTATATATATATATAATAGATATGTATATATATATATATAATACGTATATATATATATATATATATTTATATTCATATATTTCTTTAAAAAAAAATTCGTAGAAATAAATTTTTTCATCTTTATTAAAACTAACATTTTGAATTCTTTTATTAACTATACCTTTAACCAAATTTATAATTATATTAGTTCTGTTTTTTTGTAAAATTTCTTTCTTTTCTGCTAATAATATTAATAGATTTTCAAATTTCAAAGTTTTTAGTGTTCATATTTAAAATATTTATTATAATGAAAAAACATTTTTTTTTTATATAATCAATATAATTCCAATTTATTATTTAGCTTATTACTTATTGCTATTAGATTAATAAAAATTATTAAAAATAAATTAATAAAAATATATATTTATATATAAAATTATAAAAATTTATATATAATATTTATATTATAATTTAATAATAATAAATATAAAAAAATGGTTAAATTTATAATGTAAATAATATTTTCAGATTCACAAAATTATTGGTTTTGCACCAACATTGCTTCAAGTACTAATGACTGCTGAAGAAATGTCTGTACGACAAGCTGGTAATTAATAAAAATAATTACTTTAACAAAATATAAAAATTGATTAATGATAATTTAATATAAATTTAGGTGTTATATACTTGAAGAATTTAATTACAACAAATTGGGCAGACAGAGAAAATGAAAATGGGTCAGTTAAGTTTACTATTCATGAACAAGATCGTGCAATGATTCGTGATGCAATTGTTGATGCTCTTGTACATGCACCAGAACTTATTAGGTAAGTTTTTTTTTTTAAACACATTTTTAATTGTAAATTAGATAATACAATATTTCTATAAATAATAAAATTATTTTTTTATTGATTTAGAGTACAATTGGCTGTTTGTGTTAATAATATAGTAAAACATGATTTTCCTGGGAGATGGACACAAATAGTAGACAAAATCACAATATATTTACAAAATTCAGATGCTTCTTGCTGGCCAGGTGTTCTTCTTGCACTTCATCAACTTGTTAAAAATTTTGAGTATGATACTTTTATTATATTATATAATAATAATATGTTTATTTTTCAAAATATTAAATAATAAATATTACAAACATTTATTAATTTTTTTTTTTAGATATAAAAAGGCAGAAGAAAGAGGACCATTAAATGAAGCAATGAATCTTTTGTTTCCTATGATTTATCAGTTGATATTACGGCTTTTACCAGATTCTTCAGAACAATCAGTATTGCTACAAAAGCAGATATTAAAAATATTTTTTGCTCTTACACAGGTAAAGACATTTTAAATATATTTTTTTATAATAAAATATGAAATCGTTTTTTTAATTTTTGTTATAATTTATCATTTTTTCCCCAGTATACACTTCCCTTAGATTTGATTTCAAAAGAAGTTTTTTCACAATGGATGGATGTAGTACGACAAGTAGCTGATAGACCAGTTCCACCTGAAACTAATAATCCAGACTTGGATGATGATGAACGAGCAGAATTACCATGGTGGAAATGTAAGAAGTGGGCTCTTCATATTTTACGCAGAATGTTTGAAAGATATGGAAGTCCTGGAAATGTGACTCAAGAATACAAGGAGTTTTCTAGATGGTACTTGAGAACTTTCAGTGGTGGAATACTTGAAGTCCTTTTAAAAATTTTAGATCAGTATCGAAGAAAGATATATGTATCACCTAGAGTAATTCAACAATCAATTAATTATATTAATCAAGGGTAAGTAATAAAAAAAAATGATTTTAATATTCAAATTACAATTTAATCAATTTTAATTAAAATATTATTTAAATTTATTTAATTTATTATTTTGAAATTAATATAATTTTATATTATTTAATTTTATATTATATACTATTTCAATTACAGAGTAAGTCACGCTTATTCGTGGAAATTTTTAAAACCACATATGTTTGAAATAATTCGCGATGTACTTTTTCCAATACTCTCATATTCCGCTGCAGATGAAGAACTTTGGAATAACAATCCATATGAATATATTAGAGTGAAATTTGGTAAGATGTCATTCAAAAATAAATTATATTTTCTATATTATTTTATATATTATTTTAATAAATTAATAATTTATTATTTTTTAGACATATTTGAAGATTTTGTATCTCCAGTAACTGCTGCACAGACTTTATTATATTCTGCGTGTAAGAAACGTAAGGATATGCTTCAGGAAACTATGCAATTCTGTATGGAAGTTCTAACCAGTCCAAATGCAGATCCTAGACAAAAAGATGGTGCATTGCATATGGTATTTATCTTTATAAAAAGATATCTTATAAAATAATAAAGTTATATTCTAAAAATCAGTTTTTTTTAGGTTGGAAGTTTAGCTGATGTACTATTAAAGAAAAAAGTTTATAAGGAACAAATGGATAAAATGTTATTACAATACGTTTTTCCTGAATTTAATAGTCCTCATGGACATATGCGTGCAAGAGTAAGTAATGCATATCTGTTTGTTTATTAAAGTATAATTGAATATTTGATTTATAATTATTTTTTCACAATTATTATTTTACAATTATTATATTTCAGGCATGTTGGGTATTACACTATTTCTCGGAAATAAAGTTTAAACAAGAACAAATATTAGTTGAAGCAGTTCGATTAACGACAAATGCTCTTCTAACGGACCAAGATCTACCAGTTAAGGTAGAAGCTGCTATTGCTTTGCAGATGCTTCTTTCTGCTCAAGAAAAAGCACAAAAATATGTAGAACCTTTAATTAAGCCTATAACTCTCGAATTATTAGCTATCGTGCGAGAAACAGAAAATGATGATTTAACAACTGTTATTCAAAAGATTGTTTATACCTATTCAGAACAACTTATGCCAATTGCAGTTGAAATTTGTCAACATCTTGTAAGTATTATTTTTTATTTTTTTAATTAATTATATTATATTTAATTTTTTAAATTAAAATGAGATACTAAAAAAATATTATATATATTGTTAGGCTGCAACTTTTAGTCAAGTACTTGAAACAGATGAAGGCAGTGATGAAAAAGCTATTACTGCCATGGGATTATTAAATACAATAGAAACATTATTGAGTGTAATGGAAAATCAACCACAAATTATGGCACGATTGCAACCGACAGTGCTTCAAGTTGTTGCCCATATTTTTGGAGAAAGTGTCATGGGTAAGTCAAGTAATAATATTAATGGAAGTAAAAATATTCTAAATATATATTATATTAAATTATAAATGTATATTATTTATAAATATTATTATATTGACAATATTGACAATAATATGCTTTTGTATTTTAGAATTTTATGAAGAAGCTCTTTCATTAGTTTATGATCTTACGGGAAAGACAATTTCTGGAGATATGTGGAAAGTTTTAGAATTAATGTATCAATTATTCCAGAAAGATGGCTTTGAATACTTTACTGATATGATGCCTGCTCTTCATAATTATATTACAGTTGATAGTCCTGCATTTTTATCCAATGAAAATCACATATTAGCTATGTTCAATATGTGCAAAGCTGTACGTTGATTATTTTTTTTATAAAAATAAAGAAAATATTTTATGACAATTTTTTTTTATTTTTTATGTATTAGGTATTAACAGGAGATGCTGGAGAAGATCCAGAATGTCATGCTGCTAAATTATTGGAAGTTATAATTTTACAATGTAAAGGTCATATTGATCAGGTAAAATTAAATATAATGTATAATATATTTCTTTTAATAAGTAAGTATTAGAAAATTATACATAAAAAAAATTTTTTTTTAGTGTATACCTTCATTTGTGCAATTAGTACTAGAACGTTTAATGCGTGAAGTTAAAACATCTGAATTAAGAACAATGTGTTTGCAAGTAGTAATTGCAGCTCTTTATTATAATCCAGCACTCTGTCTTGAAACAATGGATAGATTACAAGGAAATTTTAGACAATCAACAGAACCAATTGCTTCACATTTTATTAAACAATGGATACATGATACAGATTGTTTCTTAGGGTGAATTTATTTTTTATAATAATGATTGCAAATTTTTTTATAATTAAATACAAATGCAATTAAATAATGCATCTTTGTAAATATTTATTAATTTATTTATATTAATTTATGTTATTTAGGTTACATGATAGAAAACTGTGTGTTCTTGGGTTGTGTACATTAATTAGTATGGGTCCTGCAAGACCACCAGCAGTGAATGAATGTGCTCAACAAATCATCCCATCTCTGATTTTACTTTTTGATGGATTAAAAAGAGCCTATGCAGCTAAAGCATCTGATACTGATGACGAAGAGAATGAGGAAGATGATAGCGATATTGACGAAGGTATTAATTTTCATGTATATTTCTATGCATTTGTCATTTTTATCACATTTTTAAAAAAATAGTAATAATTTCATTATATTTATATAGAAGTTTTATCATCTGATGAAGATGAAATTGACGATGCTAGTCAAGAATATTTAGAAAAACTACAAGAAAAAGTGACTAGATCATCTACACAACATGGTTTTAATGTATCGACATCAATCCAAGATGGGCATGGTGATCATAGATCAGATGATGATGGAGATGATTCAGAATATGATGCCAATGAGGAAACTCCACTAGAATGTTATGCTACGCCTTTAGATTCAGATGACATGAATCAAGATGAATATGTTGTTTTTAAAGAAGTAATGCAAAGTGAGTAATTCTATGTTCTTAATTCAAAATCAAATTATGTCAAATTATATAAAAAATTAGTATAATTTTTCTTCTTTTTTCTTTCCTTCTTTTAGATATTGAAAGAACAGACACAGTTTGGTATAGAGCATTAACTGGTCACTTAACTGCAGAACAACAAAAGGCATTACAGGAAATTATCTTGTTAGCAGATCAGCGTAAAGCAGCTCTTGAAAGTAAAAGAATTGAACAGAGTGGCGGTAAGACTTTTTATTAATTATTACCTTTTTTTTATATTAATATTATTAATATGATTTATTATAATAATATGAATAATACAAAATTTGTTTTTATGAATATTCTATTATACTAAAATAATATATATTTATATTATTATTTCAGGTTACGCTTTTCATTCACAGACTGTACCTACGTCGTTCAATTTTGGTGGAACGCTTTTGAGCCGATAGACTCCCAATCGTTTATATTTTTAGCTTAAGTAAGTAAATAAATTGCGAAGCATCCAAGTCAAACATCCTTAACAATGCAATATATGTTCCCACTGCGTTAAAACTGATACGCATTATACGCGAGTTAAATTAAACATTAAAAAAGTGTCCATTTTTGTTTGTTTCTCCACGTTCTCTAACTTATCATGACTATAGCTCGGTACATACAACAATGGTAGCATCCTTTCGAGCGTTTGGAAATCCATTCCACGATGGAATCTGCGGAGAAGCACACTTCTTCTCATAACATAATAATAAAACGTAATTAATTTTCATTGTAGAAAAATGCATCTAAAATAAACAAGAATAGTAATTTGTATTTTTTTAAATAAAAAATATTTTTGTTCATTGTTTATTTCGATTTCCAGATTCCAGGGAATATGTTCTGATCTTGATTTCCAAATCGTCGTGCTTCTTCGCCGAGTTCACGCCAATCCATCGTTCAACGCGATCGAATCTTTTTTTTTTGTATGAGAAGGAAAAAGATATGTGTGAAAATGAAAGTATGAAAGAATAAAATAAATATGTGTGTGTGTATCTGTATGTTTGAAAAAGGAAAGGAAATGAAAAAGAAAATAGTTCGATCGCTTTTGAAGCGCTCGAAAAAGTGCCTTCAACACGTTCGACGCGGATGGGACCTTAATCGGAGCAAATTGGATCGAGGCTAGGACGCTTCTCTAGTTTGTAAGTTTCCTAAACACTGTACTAAAATATAATAAATTAATGCTAATTAAAAATGAAGAATTCAAACTTTTCCAGCCTTAATTTCATTACAAATTGTAATAAAATTTTCAAAAGAAGATTAAATTGATATAGAATTATGTCATTACATTATGCTTCTAAGTAAAAATCATGTACAAAATTTGTGACTTAATAAGTTTCTAATTTAAATAATTAGAAGCTAAGCCTTATTTTGTAAAAATTGTATAATGCACCATTAACTACTTTATTATTCATTTGTTTGAAGGAATAAAGTAAAATTTAATAATAGCTTTGCATAATAATGTATTTGGTTAGATTAAATTATGTCATTAGGAATAGGATAATTAACAATGATTTAAATGCAATTGAAATGCAAAATTTTCTCATTAACAGCCTTATATTCCACTTTCGATCGATACATAAGTTAAGTTATGTGTTTTCAAATGAAGATTTTGGCAGGATATATATACATATATCCGTTTATGGAAAATAATTCATATCCTGCGAAATAACTCTCAGGGCTGAGATATACTTATATGAGGAGCTGCATGTTGAAATTATAGATACGTTTGCAGTTTCATATACACATATCATATATACATTTTTGTTAGATAAGATTAGAATAATTCAGTTATAAGTACATACTTATAATGAAATTTTTAATCAAAATTGGAAAATTATATATTAATAGTATATTTTTACAAAATTGCGACAATTTTAATTATACATTTTTGTTTTTTAAACTTGTAAGAAAAATATTTAATAAAGTAGTAAAAATTTATAATCATTTATAGATTTCTCTTAAAAACTTTTAACGTTTTATATTTTATTTATATTTGCCAATAAATTATTAATTAAATAAAAAACTTGCAAACGTAAATGCAATTTCATTTCTTTATTATATTTGAGAAAGAGAAAAAAAAGAAAGGAAAAGTAAGTATCCCACAACTCCGAAAAAATAGCGCATCGGTGGCATTTTTACCAATGGTTTATTGACCAAAGGTTCGAAGCACTCGTAAAGACGCAGAGAGGCCCGTTTAAACAAATGGACGAGAGGAACACATTTAGAGCACGAAGAAGTTCTACTCTCGACCTCTTTCCTCATTGTGTCCTCGGATAAAGTGAATGTTAATGTCACTTGAGACACCGTTCGAAATAAAACGCGCCGACATAGCCACCTCTCATTGCTTTTGCTACATTTTGCTCAAATGCTCTCCTATTATTTTGAAGGACTTCTGCAGCATCTTTATTCAATGGATCTTCTGGATTTGGTTCCTAAATAAATAATATTTTTATAGATATTTTTTTGTTTAAATATATTCAAAAATATTATAGATATAATACATATAATATAAGTAAAATATAATATAAATTTTTTATTTCATTATAAAAAATGTCATTATTATATATTATATTAAATACCAAGAAAAGATATTGTAATCCATAAACAATAGAATTAATTGTAAGGACTGGTTTCCAATCTTCTCTTAAAATATTCAAACACACATTGCCATCTAAATCAATATTAGGATGATAAACTTGTGTTTCACATTTTACTTTAGGTGGTTCATGTGGATAATTTGGTCCAACTTTGAAACTGAAAACAAATCTACCACCTCTATAAAATCCCTAAAAAATTAAAAAATAATTATCAAATTATATACATAAAAAAGAAATGAAAAAGAAATCTTACCTCATCTGGACAAATAATTAGCTTAAAGCTAAGAAGATCATCTGGATCAGGAAACTCTGTCCCACATGTTTTTGGAAGATTGAGTTCATTTATATCTATATAAAATAAGAATTTCTTAAAATATGTTAAAGAATGAAAAATTTATATCAAATTATTAAAGATTACTTCAATTAAAATAAAATTAAAATAATGAAATATTCTTAAAATTAAATGAATATTAATATTAATCATAAAAAATATAATTTATTTATTTATATTTATTAAAAATGTTTCTAAAGTCATGTTAATAATTATTTTTTAATAAGCTATCTGTTTTAATGGAAAAATACAAATATATATTTATTACTATCTTAAAATTTATTTCATTTTATTTTAATTTATTATTTTTAATTTATTTTTTAAATATTTATGATATTTATTGGAATTTATAATTTTTTTAATTTTAAGTATTTTATAAAGAATTTAATAAAATACTTACATATCAATATATTTTTAAAAATATGAAAATAAATTAAATTGTATATATATTCAAACAGATAATGAAAAATATATATATATATATAAATATAAAATACAAAAAATCTAAATATAAAGTATATAATGAGTATTAATAAAAATGAACAAACATTAATAGCTATACAAAACTATATATAACTAATTATAAGATCAAAACTTTATAAAATTTTAAATAAATTTCTTTCTAATTAATCTATATTTTTCATATATTAAATGAAGTTTGTAATAACAAATAAAACAGAAATTGAAAAGAAGACTATAAGTATCCGTCAATAAACCTTTTGTGATTCTCAGTTGCGCTGCAGATGCTTTTTTTTGGGTGCCAGCTTTCGGTGACTCGCCATCCTTTTTCGCCTGTTTTAATGAAAATAATTTGATCATGATAGAGTGGCGGTGCCAGGCGTGGAAGGCACAAAAGTCTTCTTCCTCGAACGGCCACGCGCGCAGCTACGATGCACGCAACAAAACTTTTTGACAATGGAAACAACTACTGTGAATTTACGACTGGTTTCACGTGGACGGAATAGAATTCGTTTCTGTTACGATCACGGTATTAAAGTCCCATTTTTCATACTACATATTAAAGCCTGTATTTCATTTATGTATATATGTTTTAATTTAAGATTGAATAATTAATTCTTTTCAATAGAATAATTTTTTTTTATAATAATATGTTTGATTATTTAGCTATAATAATACAAGATATAAAATATTAATCCTTAATTTTATCTATATTTAATTCATTATTTTATAATTTATAAAAATATAAAATGAAGTTTAAATGAATTATAGAACTTCTGAATTATACATATATAGTATATATTCTCAATTATAAAACTTCAGTCATTATTATTATTACTTCATACAAATATATAATAAATAAAATTTGTTATATATAAAAAAAATACGGAATGTGAAATGTTTAAGTTACATTATTGTAAATATAAATGATATTTTGCATGTACTTTTTATCATTTAAATATGATTGGTAACCATTTATAATGATTTAGGATTCTACCAATCGTAATTTCTCATATATATTGGAAATATTTATTCGAGTTGTGAAAATATCTGTCGTTGGATGTACAAATAATTATTTACTATTGTAAGGAAAAATATATAAACACTAGATGGTTCAATGTTCGTTTTGAATTAGTGTGAGATATAAACGTCAATGGCTTACATTAGTTGTGCATGTTGCTTGTAACGATCAAAAAGTAACGAGATAGATTTTCGCGATCTATATATTTTCTCTAGTTTGACAGTAAACGACGACACAATGGCTGGAGTCCGGGATGAAATTTTAGCTAACTTTCAGGTAATTTATTGGATGTTTAATTATTTGTTAATTTTAAATAGAACATAGATTTTAGGTTATGATGTATGTATTAATGACATTGACAGTAGTAGAAAAAATGTATAAACATAAAACAATATTTTCGTTTGTTTCATTTTCAATTTGTCAAAATTTTAACAATATTTAAAAATATATAAATATAAAAATCATTTAAATAATATTCTCTGATGGTATTTGGTACTTTATATTTTTGAACTCTTTTTGGTGTGTTGTCTTCTTTTGTCTTTATTGTATTTATGGATTATAAAACAAAGACTATAAAATTAAAAGTATAAAAAGGAATTTTAAAAAAGAATTTTATTATTTATTAATTTATGATATTAAAATAAAATATTATAATATATTATTTAAAAATTAATTTTATATTAATATTTATATTAATTAGTTACTAGTTTAGAATAAATAAATATAAGTTGCTTTTTAGGCATGTACAGGAATTGATGATGTTGGTGATGCCATTAAATATTTAGAAGAATCAAATTGGGATTTATTGGTAAATTTTTCTATGTAAATTCATTTTGTTTTTTATATGTAGAAATAAATAATTTAAATAATGTTATATTATATTATAGGCAGCAGTAAATCAAGCTATGCTTCGTAGTACACAATTACCTTCTGAAATAAGTCCAGATATAGAAATGATAGAAGAAATTGAAAGAATGCCACAATCACATTCATTTTCATCTCAAACTAATTGTGATTCTAAAAATAATTCCATAATGGAAGTAACAGAAAATTCAAAACCAGGAACAAGTAAATCTAAAACTTGTGAAAGAGAAAGGACACTTACATTCCATGTTAATCATCTTAATAATGAATATGAAATAAATTTATCAGAATTTTCATCTTTAAGTAAGTTTTATTAAATAATTTTTTTTATTTGTTACATTTATTTATTGTTAGATCAAAGATGATATAAAATAACTGATATAAAATAAAATATAAAGATATTTATTATTATAATTATAATAAATATATATTATTATAATATTTACAGAGGATCTCAAACAACTTATATGGGTACAAACAAATGTCCCACCTTGCCAACAGCGTCTTTATGGATGGAAAAAAGAACCAAAATCAGATTATAGATCATTACAATCATTAGATTTACCAAAAGAAAATACCTTATACATGTCTCCTATAACAGAAGATGTTGATTTAACAACTGATATGTAAGTAAATTTTTTAAAAATTATATATATTTATATTTATATAAATTTATTAAATATTTCATTAATTAATTTTTTACTATTTTTATAGTGTGAGTTTATCAAAACGAATGACTCAAACATATACTTTAAACATAAGAGATGAAATAAACAAGGAAACATATAATTTGAAATTTCCTGGAACAAATACAGTTTTGGATGTAAAATCTGGTATTTATTCATTAACAGCTGTTCCAGTTCGAAATCAACAATGGAAAGGCTGGCCAAATTCAGTAAAAAATGATAATGTTATGTTAGCCCAAAGTGGAATTTCTTATCCAGAACATGATTTATCTGTAAATGAACTTCCCATGAAAGAAGAAAAAAAGGTATTAATAATTATGTTATAAATATACATAGCATTAAAATAATACTTTGTTATTTTTAGGATGTCATAGATTTAATTGAAAGTGATAGTTCTATAGATGAAGATGATATAGAAGATGATATTTTTGTAGATAATGTCAGATCTACAAAAACTCAACGTCTTAGTAAGTAAATTAAATTTACTTAATAAGTATTTTAAATTTCAATTTTTTAATATTAATTTTTTTTATTATATTAATCCAATAACTTATCATTTACAGTGCCAGAAAATGTAGCAGATGAAACAATAGGTACAATGCATTTTGCAGAAGAATTTGAAAAACGATATGGACCAGCACATCCAGAATTTTTTACTGGTACATTTAAAGATGCAGTTAAAGAATCATGTTTAAAGCCAGCAAAAGAGGTTAGTAATTATTATTTAAAAAACATTGTTTACCTTATATAAAATTGTAAATTTATGATGTTACAGAGAAAATTATTAGCTGTATATTTGCATCATGATAATAGTGTATTAGCAAATGTATGCTGCACACAATTATTAAGTTGTGAAGCTGTACTCCAAGTTTTATCTGCAAATTTCATAGTATGGGGTTGGGATATTACATTTGAATCTAATAAACAAAAGTATATATATATATATATATTTAATTGTAAAAAATATTTTTTTATAATATGAAATCTTTTTTTATAAAATATTTTATTTGAATTGAATATTTTAGATTTCTTTCATCTGTAAAGCAAACATTAGGATCATTTGCAACATTAGCTATGGAAAATATAGATATTGATACTTTACCTGCTCTTGTAATTATAATGAGAGCTAGATCCATTACAGAAATGTTTACAGTAATACATGCCAATGTGGGAGTAAATGAATTATTAACTAATTTAATTCATGTTGTCGAAGTATTTCAGGTAAATAAATATTTAATATATGGCTTTAGATAATTAATATACGATATTAATATGATATTTATCATTAAATTTCCATTTCTGAAAAATAGGAACAAAGACGTACCGATATTGGTGTTGAAGAAGAAAGACAAGCTAGAGAAAGAGTAAAACAAGAACAAGATAGAGCATATCAGGAAAGTTTAGCTGCAGATAGGTATATTAAAAATAATTATTAATTAATAAAATGTTTCGAAATTATATTGTATAGTATTTTAATATAAAAGAATAAATAAATAAATAGTGTGTATGTGTTATATATGTATATTTTTTTTAGAGCGAAAGAAGAAGCAAAACAAATACAAGAAGAATTAGAAAAGCAACGAAAAGAACAAGCAGAAAACGAAAGGTTGGCTGAAGAAGCAAGAAAAGAAGCTCATAGACAGGCAGTAGAATCGAGTTTACCACCTGAACCACAACAAGGAACTGGTGATGGAGTGTTAAAAGTACGAGTGCGGCTTCCAGCTGGAAAATTTCTAGAGCGCAGATTTCAATCTGATACACCTCTACAAACACTTCTTAACTTTCTCATTGTGGAAGGTTATCCAACAGAAGAATACAAAGTTCTGTGTAGTTGGCCTCGAAGGGATGTAAGTAGATGATGTAAGCACTTAAGTTCTTATTACATAAATGTGCTTTCTCTTTTATTAAGTTAAATCAATGTATATGTATGCACACACATACATATATGCAATTTTTGAATAAATTTCACAATATTTAATAGAATTAATTTTTTAAATTTATTTAAATTTAATTTCTGTATTTGTTTCAGTTAACATCTATGGATTCAAAACTCACTCTTATGGATTTAAAATTCTGTCCTCAAGAAACAGTAATTTTAGAAGAACGATAAGTAATTTGTTGTAATTAAATTAAAATGTAGAATTTAAGCATTGCAATATTCTGAAAGTGTTATTTATTTAACAAGTTTTGAATAGTTATCAGTTAGTATGAGTTCAGTTTATTGTGCAACTACATTTTTATGCTGTATCTTTTCGTACTATTCATTCGTACGACAAATGTAGTCTTATATTATAAAAAGTCCTTTCCATGCATGTGCATTGTATATTTTAAATTCCTAAAAATAAATTACATTTCAAAAAACCTCAAACAAAAGTAGCCTTTTGTTTGTCGTTACCATGATTGCAAGAAATATTTAAAAATATATTAAAGGAGTTCAATTTGTAATAAATATAAATGGAATTTGTAATAAAAAAATATATTTTGAATAATATTAAATTTTTTAAAGAATTTTTATTACAAATACAAAGATGCAGCAAAGACAATGTCACGTTTTATAAGTTTAATTGCTTCACTAAATTTATTTTCTAAGTCCGTATTTCCAATATTTTTGGCTGCTTGACATAATTGTCTAAGAACTTCTTCTAAACGACGCATACATCTTATAATAGAACCTAGAATTAATTGAAATTATAATATTTTCAAAAAAATAAATATAAAGATATTTGATAATTTAGTAAAAAAAAAAAAAAAAAAAAAAAAAATGTAAAAATTTTGAAATATACCTTCAAATATATCTGTCATTTTACAAATTTGTAAAAAAGTAGCTCCTTTACACCAAGCATATACAACATCCATTAAATATGGCTTAAATCGTTCTACATATGTATCTTCATCTAATTCTAG